TTATTTTTTTACTGATTTATGCTAAAATCATTAAATCACAGTGAACGTATTAATTTTAGGCATAAACAATGATGCATTGATTATTCCTGGCTGACCGGACTTTTCAAGGTATTTATGGTTGTGACATTTTTTCTTATCTAAATATTATTTTAACCAGATATTTAGCTTCAGCTGTGCACAATACAAGCAAACACTTCTAAGTGAAAAATAATAGTCAATAAAAAGAAGTGATGTGATATTAGAGGGTTGTACGTTTAGAAGCATGTAGCTGTGTAGAAAAATAAATCTTGATAAAAACAGTTTCTTTGATCACAAATAATCTTCTGTTTTCGGCTTAAAGTTATGATCATAAAATGTAAAAGTGTAATTACATTTTCAACTTGTGCATCCAGTCAGATTTATTACAACTTTTGTCTAAAAAGGTTCTGTTTTTGTTGTTTGTACGGATGTACTGAAGAAAAGAAAAAAAAATTAACAGCGCCATCTTGTGGCTAAATAAGAGCCTGCATCATCCAGACATGCTGGCGAATCAGTCCCGCTTTGAGTTGAAACTTTGGCGGCGTTACTCATTGTGCGCTTGTTTTATATATAAAAATAAACAGGGTACGGAAAGATGGGCGGGGTCTTCAGTGCCCGTGGCTCATAATGCCTGTGATAAGCCCCGCTCTAAGCGGCAGACCAGCTGACGCATATCAAGCGCACCACAGTGACGCAGGCGCTGGGCTTCAAAAACCTTGTGAGAGCAGGAAGTTGTAGCGTCGCTCAGGTCCGTAACCAACATTTCTAGTTTTTATCATGTAAATCTAAGTTAATTAAGCTAAAGCACATTAAATTTAAACATAACCATAATTATTATCAGATTATTTAGCGGAAGGTTTGGCTCACGCGAACCTACGAACAATGGCGGCGACAACAACGGTCAGCTTTTCTCCAGGAACCTTTTATTGATGAGGAGTTTTATCCGTTTATCGCAGCGATATATTTTTCTGTCATCGGTCATGAACGACTAATAAATAATAAAACCTCTGGGGCGCATTGCTGCGGCCGATCAGATGTCATTTCTGCTTCATTTATTTATGTTTTTATGGAGAGAAAGACTGATGAGGAAATCCTTCCCCGATGGCATCACCTGCTGCTCACCTGCAAAGCGCGTCAGAAGGTGGAGGTGACGTCACAGCTGCTGTCCATGCCTGCATGGAGCCGGTAGATGGAGGGAGGAAAGCAGAGGCTGAAGCAGAGATGGAGCCCACCTCCTCCTCCTCCACCACCTCCTCCTCCTGCCTGTCTCTGACCCCCCCCCTGCCTCCCTCTGTGGAGCTCTCAGCTGTTCTGACAGACACCAGGCTGACCCTGGATGTGTACCTGGGAGGGGCGGCTGCCTTGCCCCTGCTATGGGGGTCTGTGGCGGAGCAGCTGAGGGGCCTCCAGTACCTGAGGTTGGGCTCTGAGGAGCAGGCTGGGCTCCTGGCTGCAGTGGAGCTCCTTCCCCAGCTGACAGAGCTTCGCTCCCTGGCCATCCGCGGTAACACTTCACCACATTACACTGATCAATCACATCATTTTAGTCAGGTAGATTCTACTAAAACCAAGACTTGCAGCTTTGATCAATTGTGATTTGCTTGTTATATTATAATCAAATTTCACTCTGATCTTTTATGACTTTTTGATTCCTTCTTGTTTAAATGACATTAGAGATGCAAATGAAGGTAAATAGGATGAAATGCTGGTGAAGATTCTCAGCCATCCAGGTCATAGTCATTACAAAAAAGTTAGAATCAATCCACTGGACTTTGTTTCCAGGTCTGAAGACGTTTCTCTTCCTTCCAGGAAGATTTTTCTATTCAAAATATCAGAAATGGCTTTTTTGGAAGGAAAGCTAGAATGTTATGAACTATTATGATTCCAGTCAGTGTCGCTAAGCGGCTGCCATGTTTCCCTTCTTTCTTAAAGGACACCGCTTTCCTGACTCACAAGGCGACCCCCTGCCGGGCCTCCTCACCACGTTGCCAGATTCACTGTCATCTCTGTCTCACCTGAAACACCTGGATCTCTCCTTCAACCAGCTTACCTGTGTGCCACCATGCCTGCTCCGACTGCCGGCGCTTTCCGAGCTGCTGCTCTGCCACAACCGCATCTCTGCTCTGCCTGACGATTTTGGGCAGTTATTGTCTCTAACCTACCTGTCCCTGAAGGGGAATCGGTTGCAGTCTGTCCCCCCCTGCGTGGGCCAGTTGAAAGCGCTACGTACGCTCGACATATCGGATAACGTTCTCCATCACCTGCCTGATGAAATTGGTTCCTTGGGGGAGCTCGTTGAGTTGGAAATATCTCACAACAAGCTGCAGCAGCTGCCAGAGAGCATGGGTAAGGAGCCGGGTAAGGGGATGGGTAAGGGGATGGGTAAGGGGATGGGTAAGGGGATGGGTAAGGAACCGGGTAACTGAATGGGTAAGGGGATGGGTAAGGGACCGGGTAAGGGGCCGGGTAAGGAGATGGGTAAGGGACCGGGTAAGGGGACGGGTAAGGAGATGGGTAAGGGACCGGGTAAGGGGACGGGTAAGGAGATGGGTAAGGGACCGGGTAAGGGGATGGGTAAGGGACCGGGTAAGGGGATGGGTAAGGGACCGGGTAAGGGGATGGGTAAGGGACCGGGTAAGGGGACGGGTAAGGAGACGGGTAAGGGGACGGGTAAGGAGACGGGTAAGGGGCTGGGTAGGGAGCCGGGTAAGGGGCCGGGTAAAGGGATGGGTAAGGAGACGGGTAAGGAGACGGGTAAGGGGACGGGTAAGGAGACGGGTAAGGGGCTGGGTAGGGAGCCGGGTAAGGGGACGGGTAAGGGACCGGGTAAGGAGACGGGTAAGGGACCGGGTAAGGGACCGGGTAAGGGGCTGGGTAGGGAGCCGGGTAAGGGACCGGGTAAGGGGCTGGGTAATGGGATGGGTAAGGGGACGGGTAAGGAGACGGGTAAGGAGACGGGTAAGGGGACGGGTAAGGGACCGGGTAAGGGGCCGGGTAAAGGGATGGGTAAGGGACCGGGTTAGGGGCTGGGTAAGGGTGACGGCAGATTCTCTTTACTGGCAGATACTTTGCGAGTTTTAAACAGCTTTATCTCCTTTTCTTGCACAGGCTCTCTTGTTGCCCTCAGGGAACTGGTTATCTACAGCAATGAGCTCCGGGTGATCCCAGACTGTCTGAACAAACTCCCTCTGCTTAAAATGGACGTTCGGGATAATCCTTTAGGCAAACCTCCGACCCCGCCTCCTTTGCCTCCAACACAGGGTAAGCAGTGATTACAGGAAAAGTTCAGTCAGCAGGAATAATCAATGGATCATTATTTATACCTGAAACTAGCAATAATTAATTAACTCATTTGGAGTAAATCAGTAAAACACTAAAATAATAATTTTCCTGGTGATCACTGAGTCTGGGAGCGGCCATTTTTGCCCAAATATAGTA